ATCAACCTACTATACGCCCCACTACTGAGCATGGGTCTCTTCTAAGAAGAGACGAAGGGTCTCTTCTAAGAGAGAAGAAGCTTTATCATAGTCCGCCACGCTAAACCAATGTGGGTTAGCTACTGTACACGTTTTTTAAGAAATGTGAATCATTTTCGCAATATAAGCTCCCTGAGGATTACCCTTTACCGTTAATGTGAGGTATTACTGCTAAACATTAATAAATGTAAGTAATTTAGTAATGAAAATCATAGATACGCGTCACCATACTGCCATCCGTAACTAAATCGTGACTGGTGACAAAATAGTTTTTTGGGATATCATAAAAACTATAACCCCGTTTTCAGAATATTGAAATTGTTTAAAGATATTTCAGATATGCGTCGTTAGGGTAAGTTCCGATAAGTCGAACACGTTAACAAATTTTAATTGTTTTTAAAAGACAATTTTGTGCTCTACCTTTTCCTATTTAAAACGACTATTTGACCATTTGTCACTTATCCGCCTTTTAGTTAGTCGACGGCAGTATAGGGATCTGAATCTACGATCTCTCAGTTGAGAAACAACCGTTCTCGTACTATTATTTTTTTATATATCAAGTGACGGCATGAACAAGTCCTGCGCCTATTGGTAAGCTACACGCCTGTCCATTATAGTTGCAGTGCCACTCAGAGCTTTAAATCGCAAAGACCTGAGGGGCACTTCTTCTGCTTTGTCACCGCAAGACACAAGTTTTTTTTAAAGTTCGCAAGTCACACGCTTACCCTTCAAAACTGGAACGCAGTAATGTTCACATTACTTCTTAGAGGCAGAAATAGGTATGGAGGCTGTACTTCCCTGGACGAACTCTTTCACTAGGAGCTCTACTACTAATAAATGTATTATTCTATTTTTGGACTACTGCTGCTCTCGTAGGTGTAAACTTAAACATAAGTAATGAATGAGCAATTTCATACGCTTTCGATTTTTAATTTTGTTTATTAAACTTATGTTTAGAATAAAAATTACAAGTGAAATCTTATTTTTAGGTTCACAACATTACATACTCAAAAAGGCATCTATTAAAAGATACCAACAGACGTGTACACGAAGACACGACGCTAGCTTTACAAGTAACTTATTAAGCGAAAGTGGTGTAAGAGGAAGCGTTGGATTGGGTACAGGATAGGTACCTTTCATATGTAGTGCTCTTCAAGTATTACGCCATAACTCATAGCTTGTGATTTAACAATTTACTAATGTTTAGTTGTTATTGAAGATTCTATAGAATCGTGTCTTTCCCTCGTTATAGCATCTAATACAATTGTATGTTGTTTAAGAACCAGTCATCGAAGAGCCGTGATTTATTTTAACATCCTGTAAAAACATTTTTGTAGAAATAGATGCAAAAAAAATTCTCAGATCAACGTACATTTGTAAGTAGAGTGTAAGTTTACTATCCTTCGTTTGAGTTTTAATATTTCGAAATCTTTTTAGAATGGATCTTAGGTGATCTGTGATAGTGAGCGCTTTTATAATGGCAGATAGAGTATTTTGTAACTAGACTAGAATGGACTTGTATTCGAGTGCTTTAAATAGTAGCTAGGTATGCCGCGACCTTCTGCTTCCTAATTGAGGGAATTATCATGCTATTTTAATGTCAATATTAATATACGAGTGCCGACTTGTGTACAAGTTGAGGGTTATAAATTAGTTTTGGGTAGGTACTCGTTATGTTGTGGAATTTTAATAAATTTGTTTTCAAAAAGCAGTATCAGTGTCTAAACTGCATTAATGTTGAAAGTTATCAGTTTTTTCTTCTAGACACATCAATTATGGTCTTTAACACAAAGACACTTAGTGATGTTTATATTATGTCCAAAATAACAAATTACAATTATATTTTTTTTCTAAAAAAAACTACATTACAGAAAACATTTACTAGGAGTAGAGCTCCTTGTGAAAGAGTTCGTCCAGGGAAGTACTGCCACTTCACCTATTCCTGCCGCCAAAAGTGAACATTACTGCGTTCCGGTTTAGAAATGTAAGGGTGCTGGTGAAATTACAGGCACATGGGACTTGTCATTTATGTATCAGAGTGACGACCTAACATCATTGTGATTAAAAGCTCCATAAGTATCACGTTTTTTGAAGATACTTTAAGTAATATATGTATATACTTGCGTATATATATACGTGCGTTCGCACCTCTGCGTTTTTTGGAATATAAGTATGTGCGTAATTTGATTCCAAATTTACCTTGAGTTTTTTAGTGAACGACAACGTCGTTATGAAACCTGTACGTCGAAGAAGGTTCACAACACTCAGAAACGTGAGACGTTTCCAACCCGCATTTGATGGCCTACATCCTCGCCAGAGAGGAGGTCCGTGCCCAGCAGTGGGACGTTTAATGGATAGTCCTTGACTTAGTGAAATCAATAAAGCAAATTAATTAAGTTATCTACATTGTGTTATTCGTCAATTCTACAATTTCTAAGTGATATTTAATTTGCATAACTGTCAAATTTAGCGACTGGACGTTCAGATACAACCTTCAAAGGAGTCTATCTGCTGCGACTTTATATAACTACACGCAATATTAATCGATAAATAATTGCCTTTAGGCCGGTTTGATTTGGTTTTTGCACTTCGCACGTAATAACGGAATTTAAATATTTGTGGGGCAGAATTTGACCTTAGATGTAAATTTTAAATTTTAAATTTTACCTAATTGTACAGTCGATGAAATATGTATAATTAAGTACCTACTAAACTCTGACGAAAAAAGTATTTATTAAATTCATTGACTTACAATTATGTGGACGTCGGGTCCGCGCTAAAAAGTGTCCGCACTTGTAAGGCGCTAAAATCGTATACAGAGCGCCAAACTCCGCTTTAGTCTTCATTTGTTCGACTGACAGCGCGATACTGCGATGACATTACGATTTAAATTTCGAATAGGTAGACTTGGGACATTTTTTTCGTGGTTTTTGTATTAGACCCGTCGTCCATTTATTTGTAAGTCAATGATTAAATTTATAAATCTGCTAGATAATTGCACCAATTACCTGGCTTCTAAGGCGCGTTCAAATTAGACATTTGTAGAAGTCTGATGAGTGATTGACGAATTATATGAAAAGTTATAAATGCACTGCAGACGTGCGACTGTAATGCATCTAATTTGACCGCGCCCTCATATGTACCAGATTGACAAAAGGTTCGGTTCTCATTCTCTCAAGTGCTGTGCCACCGAGATTGTCACATTTTTTTTAAAAGCCACGCACTAGGGAAACCTTGTGTCGCGGGTGCCATGGACACACACATAGACCATCACAAATTACACCCAAATTCACGAGAGAAATAAATGTAGGTTATACAAATTTCTCCCGGCCCGGGTTCGATTACCCGGGATTTCTATGTGTACATTTCTACATGGTAACCGTTCGTTACCATGCTGATCTGCAACGTAAGAAGTCCCTTAAACATAAAACTTTTTGTTAAATACTGAAAGAGACCTTTAGGGCTTGCACGATAGGGCGCGACTTGCGCAAGAGCGACAAGAAGCGCGAGATACTGCTATTCTCGCATAGAGATCTCACGTTTTATATCGCTCTCGCGTAAGTCGCGTTCAGCTCATTGAAGGAAGACTTATTATTCTTTCACATTAATAAGATATTTCTGTATAAGTAACTAACCTAACCTATTCGCTTCCCACTGACTGAGCAAAAGGTTCATCTTTTCTATGGTAAAAAAATACTTACAGTTTACCAGTCTTGTTCAATGCTGGTTAGGAGCTTCACATGTTTTCTAAGATTGCTTTTTATCCCTGACATGAGGCTTTCTAGCCGAGGATCTTTTCTCTCAAATGTATAAACATACATATATATGTTTAATTATAAAGGTATAGGTATATGTAAGGTAGCTTCAGTATTGCATACATTAGTTATATTATTTATAGATACAAGCATATGTAGATAAATATATTAGTGTATGTACCTATCGTAAATTTAAAGACTCTGTATTTACCAATAACCGTATTCAATACAACTAAAAAATTAAAAAAAAAATGACAAATAGATGTGGTAAATTGCGCCCATAGATTTTTTTATAGAAATATTTTATCTCTCTAGCGAATCGTTGTATGTAGTGACATACAATATGAGTTCATATTAGGGCTAATTTTCTTCTATTAAATATTTGCTCAAAAAATTTTGGTTTTTGTTAAATCTTACAAACGACATATTTTTGTTCAAAATAAGAATATTTGGGCCCTATGACAGTAAAGTGTATTGTACTTATTTACTATTTATGTTTAATACAAGTAATGAATTTTTAATCTTAAGACCTTAAAAGAATTATTCCGATTACATATTTCAATCACAGCAAGTAGGAAATACATACATATTGTCCTTGTTATGTACTGGAATGTGTCGCCCAAACTAACTATTATTGTTGTATCTTACAGAAAAAATATTGAATGTAACAATAATTTCTTATTTACAATGTAGTTAATCCGGAAATTGTATTTTTAATAGGCCAGAGCCAATCCTTAATGTGATCGTTGGTTTATAATTTCTGAATGCGATTGAAATTCAATAATCAATTTAAACACTCAGAAAATACGTACGCAGATAGGTTATAAGAAGAACAATGATAAAAGCGCTTCGTCTATGTTTCACTTTCATTGCCAATTTAGCAACGTTTCACAGGCACTAATACATATTAACAAAAGAATAATTAAGTAGAGTCTAAAAAGCTTTGTTTCCTTTGATGGTTGATCCATTCATCCTTACAAGCACCTATAATTTGCGCATAATGAGGACGCAAGCATAAGTAGATTCCAAGGCTTATGTGTCCTATGCCAAACGGAACAAACGAAATCGAAAGGCTATCTCTAAAGTCAACGCGTAGGTTAAGTTACCTATGACGCTAGCTCGCCTTGGCAATGAAAGAGAATTGGACAGTATGGACGGTAGTTAAAAAGTATAAAAACCGGAGCAGTCATTGTCGGAATTATTCAGTTGCCAACCTTAGCACCACCAACATGTACGCCAAGGTGTGTTTCTTGAACCAGCGTCATTTTTTATTCATAAGTAAAGTCATCTCAATTACGTACAGTTTTCTATTGATCAACTTGCCTGAATGGATTTTGATTTTCATCAGAGTAATATATAATAATAAAAGATATCTCACTGTGTTGAAATAGTTCAGTACTTAAATCTGTAGATAGATTGATATGATAAAGTCGACATACCTATAGTGAAATGTCAAGTTCTTAAAGTGTAATATTAGAATTTTAATTTTTGCAGTTGATCGTCGCTCTTTGCGCCTTGAGTGCTGCTCACGCTGGCGGTCTCTATGGAGCCGCTCCTTTGGCGTACAGTAGCCACGCATATGCTGCGCCAGCCGTAGTCACCAAGACCATCGCCCCTGCTGTCACTTCCTACTCTTCTTACTCCACCCAAACCGCTCACGCGGCTCCTGTGGCGACTTACGCCGCTGCACCAGTGGCTGCCTATGCCGCTGCTCCCGTGGCTGCCTACGCCGCTGCTCCTGTGGCTGCGTACGCTGCGACTCCCTATGTTGCTAAGAGTTATGCCGCGCCTGCCGTCGCTGCCTACGCTGCTCCCGCTGTCGTGACCAAGACTATCGCCCCTGCCGTGTCTTCTTATTCGTCCTACTCCACTTCCACTTCTCACGGCTCTCCTGTCACCTACGCGGCTGCTCCTATCGTGGCCAAGACCTACGCCGCACCTGCTGTCGCTGCCTATTCTGCGCCTGCAGTCGCTGCGTACGCCGCGCCCGCTGTAGCCACCTACGCCGCTGCCCCCGTAATTGCCAAGACCTACGCTGCCCCCGCCGTGACTTCCTACTCTTCTTACTCGACTCAAACTGCTCACGCATCTCCCGTCGCGACTTACGCAGCTGCTGCTCCCTTGGTCGCTAAGTCCTACGCCCCTGTGGCCACTTATGCCGCTCCGGCCTATACCTCTTACGCTGCTCCCCTGGTGGCTAAGAGCTATGCCGCTCCCGTGACCGCATATGCAGCGGCTGCTCCCATCCTGAAGTCCGCTGTGGCGTATTCTGCTCCCGCTAACTATGGTTGGTAAACTGAATCAACGAATACGTTATTGTAAATATATAGACAATATATAAAATAAATGACTTGCCATACAAATAAAACTTATGTATAAATCTTCTTGGCGTTTTTCTTTCTTTTATTAAGTTATAAGTACAATACGAAACACAACAATGAAATAAATTTTAAATATGTGGTGAAACGTGAAAACAAACCTAACCAAAATAGCTTGGTTACACGTACACATAAATTGCTTGAATAGGGGAGAAGGAGGCACATTTGCACAGGGGCAACTTAGAACAAATGCGCTTACGCACAGTCAGTTTGACAGAAAATGTAGTAGCATTTATGTTTACAATAAAGGCACAACCGAGCCCCTCACCCGCCAGTGGCAACGGTCAGTGTGCGCGCGCCAGAGGTCGTGTTGAGTCTCCGCGTCGAAAAGTAAACATTCTCAAATATAGTTGTAAGGATATTACTGAAAGAATATATACGTACATAATGTTGAGTTGAACTTTGCTTGTCGTATGGATTGTTTTATTGCTAAAATATGAAACCTACAGTTTGCAATCACCGAGTGTTTTTAAGCATGAAAAATATTTGTTATTTTGTGGAGTACCTACCCATTGGGACAGATTTAAACAAATCAAAGGTGTGCTTTGAACACGTCTGGAGGTTCTGATTAGCTTCCTCTGCTAAAATTTTTATGAGAAGAGCTTTTTATTTTTTTTAGTTATTTATATTCCGTTTTGTACTATAATAATACAAATATTTGTATATATAAGCATACAAATACAAAATTATTTATTTTCTCTAAATTTCTTTAAATTTTCTTCTTTCTTTAAATTGTCTAGTTATTCTTGTTTATTTCGCTCACTTATAACTTTTATATTTGTGTATAAATATTATACGACATCACATACGTTACTCAGATCCCAAAGTAAGTAACTAAAGCACTTGAGTTACACTTATTTGTGTTTCCTAAGTACAAACACCCAGACGTCATGTAACTCGGTGTGCAAGCCATTCGACTGCGGAGGGTTTCAGATGTATAATTACGGGCAGTTTGATTAATCGGATATTATTGATACGGACCGGTCTCTATGAGTTAATTTGATCATTCAAGAGCATCAGCCTAAGTGATAAATTTATTACTTTGGTATGGTTTATTATTCATACTGATAGCAAAAATTATCAAATCAAACATCAAATCGCCCGTAACTTGCACATTTGAGACGTACATACGTAACAGTATGCCTTATTTGGAATGATAAAATCCAAAAGCCACCTGAAGGTTAAGCTAGTTAATAATCTAACATCTAAAATCAATAATGGGCATAGATGTCCATATCGAACAGTCAAGACGAATAAAAACGAAAATTAGAGCGATACAAATAAATTATAATAAATAACATTTAAATTAGAAACAGTAAAACTTCATTTAAGTTTTATTGTTTGTTATAGTTATTAATACAAAGATCGAACGAAAAAAAGATACTTTCGATCTGACCGGACTCGAACCTGAGTCTGTATGCCAAATGAGGGATACCGCTCTACCAACTAAGCTACAAATTAATCGAGCCAGAACACCAAACGAATTTCTCTGAAAGAAGTGAGAAGATTGTCATCATTCAAGATGACGACATAAACCGCATTGACAAGACAAATAAAATTAACAACATGGTGAATATGGTAAAAAAAAAAGCTGTGGAAAGGATCTTTCTGTTTCAACTATGGATACTAACACGCAGCAGATGAAGATGGAGAAACTTTCACAATACTTGCTAACTATATGTGTGCATGTATTGTGCATTTATTTTCTTTATTTAGCATGTCTGAAGAACAAAAAGAAAAATTGCATCAATTTTATGTTTAAACATTTGCTATTCAGTTCACATAACCAGTGTACCTACAACGGTCTATTGAAAGTACGAGTATGTTGTGAAATAGGTACACTACATATAAGTGTGCCTTTAAACATGTTTTTAAAAGTATGTATAGTATTGTCTGACAGTTGTATGTTGTAAATACGCGCTTAGGAGGGATGTAATTATGATAACTATGACCGCGACCGAATTTGGCGCTAACGATGAACAATGTACCAATAAATTCTGCTATAAGGCGGAAACTATGCAGAAAATTTTAATGGCTATAAAAATATAGGCGACTGTTTTATTAAGAACCAGCAATGTCAGCGATATACATAGTAGTAGCAGTAGGCCTTCTTATGAAAGAGTTCGTTTAGGAAAGTACTGCTACCTTACCTGTTTCTGCCGTCAAGCATGCGTTCCAGTTTTGAAGGGTAAGGGTGCTGGTGAAATTGCAGGCACATGAAACTTTCAACTTATGTCTCAGGGTGACGGGCGCAGTGGCAGTATTCCTCAAATCTTTGCGATTTAAAGTCCTGAGTGGCACTGCTATAGACAGGCGTGTCGTTTATCACCAGGTGCACCACTTGTTCGTCCCGCACTTGTAACATAAATAAAACAAACATAACTATTTGCTGTCGATTCCTAACTTGCATCGGCAACAACTGAGGTCGCTCGATCGACATACTCGTATCGTCTAACAGATACCGAAGTAAACAAACAAATAAACTTAAGTAAAAACACGACTTAAGTAAATATAATTTTAAGAGTTTAACTGTTCAAACTTCTTACGTGTGTAAAATTGGAGCGTATTAAGTTATTAACGCTTAACGCTAAATTACAAATATGTACACTTGCTACATTGTCATCTATAAAGAATGGTTGTTTGCTCCAATTAAGGACCATGAAGGTTTCTTTAATATTCATAGCACTACACTACTAAAGTGCTTAATTTACATCCAAGGTGTTTGTTAGTTGATGAGATAATCTGTTTAGGTAATATTGGTCTAACCTAGGAGAGCTAACTTGCAAATGTTTTACTAGATCAATTCAATGATATTGTTACAGTTTTAAAGGTGAAAAGAAAACAATCATCTTTGGGCAGTTGCTTATAAATCCTATACTCAATGACACAAATGTTATTTTTGTATGTTTGTTATGTAAAGTAGGTTCCACGGAGCCTCTTTTGAGTATTCGATACCAGTTTGTTCACGCCAGTATAAAAGCGAATGCAAATGTCCTAAAAATTATTCTGTCATCAATATAGACGGGTAAAACATGTACGGCAAGGTACAAAAATAAAAATTAATGTCATTTACCTCATTCACTATTTTTTTCACTAAAAACTGCATATTGAAGATAAAGAAAGTAATTGATTACAGAATAAAGTAAATATTGTTTACAGTTACTGGCAATCCTGTGGGTCGCGGGAATCGCATCTGCTAGCAATGGTCTGGCGCCAGACGGCAAGCAGGGAGTTGCTGCTACCATTGTTTCTTCTACACCAAACATCCTAAAGACGGCTCATGTTCCTGTGACACCTACTTCTGTTGGTGCCCCAATAGTCATTGCCTACTCTCCAGCCGTAGCTACTGTGACTTCTACCCCACCGATTTCCACCGTGACTGCTGCCCCTATCGTGACTAAAACAGTGCGTGCCCCTTACACTGCACCTGATACAAATAGCATCGTTTTGCCAGAAAGCAAGACATACTCGCCTCCAATTGTTGCCGACCCTGTTGTTACTAAGTTCGCTCCATCTTTTTCTTATCAGTTGTTTACTACTCACTCCGTGTCCGGTCCTGTTGTTGCTCAAAGACTCAACGCACCCACAGTAATTTATAACCATGCAACTGATTCACCGTCTCTTACTAGGGCATACCTTTCTCCCGTCACTCAGGACAATAAAACTCCACATGTTACCGTTTACGTCGTCGAACCTGCACGAGTGAAGTCTGTAGCTCCAGCATATTCTTATCAGAACTTTTATCAAGTTATCCCTGCGAAGAAAACTGTAGTAGCTCCTATTGTAGCAGCTAAAACTGTTTCTGCTCCATTAGTGAGCACTTACGCTGCTCCTGTAGTTAGCGCTCCCGTAGCAGCTGCTAAAACTGTTACAACGTATACAGCACCTGCTACTCCCATTAGACTCACTGCTAACACCATTGAGGCGCCAGAAGCGACTTATGCGGCTGGTCCCGGTGTAGCTACATATTCTGCATCTGCTCCGGCTCCAGTGCAGTACGTTTCCACTGTTCCGGTACGATACGCTGCCGCTGCCCCCGTGCAGTATGCCAGTTACGCAGTCTCCGCTCCCGCTCTAGAAGCACCTGTTGTAACTTCTTATACCGCGGATCCTGCTGACAGCTATACTGCTGACCCTGCCACTTGCATTACTGCTCCCGGTATAACTTATGCAGCTCCTTTGAGTGGTGCATCTTATGTCTCTGATTCCGGCGTACCTTATTCCGCTGGTCACACTAGTTTGTCATATTCGGCTATTCCCGGGGTAACTTACTCGGTTATTCCGGCTGGTTACAATACTGCTCCTGCTGTAAGTGCCTATGGAGTAGAAACTCCTGAGCTTACCCATGCCAATGTCCCATGGACATTCAACGCTGCCGCTCCTGCCTACGGTTATGTCAACTATGGAGCTGAATACCCTTTTAAGAAGTAACCAAAACAAATCATTTTTAAGACTTACTGATAAATGTACTACTGATTTTTACGAATTATGTTTGTATGTAAAAAACGAAAACGTTACTCAATAAAACTTTTTTCGAATTTAATAAAACTTGTTCGTTTTTAAGTTTAGCCATTTAAAACAAAAAACAAAATTATGTCGCAAAAGTACTAGTATAAAAACGTGAGTAGATTCTTAATCTATTATTATGATATAAAACCGAAAAGATCTTTAGGAATTTGTTTTTATTTATTGGCGTGAGGCGAAAATATTATAACTATTAATAAAATTAAGCAAATAAACCCTATATGAAACACTTTCTTTGTGTTTCTATGTTTTATTATTAATGTATGGAGCATAACTATTCTTTTTTTAGATTTGTGTGCACTTATAAAAATGTTATGTAGGGACTTGTACCAAGTCCTAAAGAAATGTTTAATGATACTTTTCAATGTTGTATGCAATTATTATTTTATCAAATTTAAATATTTTTTATGATAATGAATACAGAGATCGAACACACAGAAAAAATATTCGTCGACCCAGTGAGACTTGACCCACGACCATGCTGCACCGTAGCATTGCTCTAACCATCCGAGTGTTCGATCTTTGTATTCATAATCATGTGTGTGCCAATGGAACCCGACACAGGGTTTCCCTAGAGCGGGATTATGTTGAGTAGGTGCGTTATTATTATTTTTATTATTACTGAAAATATACTGACAGTAATGAGATATACATTATATTATATTTAATTTTTAAAAAGATGACATAGTATAAGGCCGGCTCTGCGCTTAACGCTCCGCTATCATGTGAACCAGCACTATAAAAAATCCTATCATGAAGCTAGCATATAATGAAGCTGCAATTGAGTCCCTAGCGCGGAGACTATGGAATCACAGAATATGTCAAATCAAATTTGATACACGCGATAAGAGAAGAACGCATACGATAAAGTGGACAACATTGTCTACATCTACGTTAGTTTTACTAACGGGAGCAAAAAATGTTTTACGATTATGTAGGTCAATGAAATAGGTGACTAATAAAAACTAATAAACTGCCTCCGTGACCGAACGGTTACCGTGCCGAAGTGCCACGCAGCGGTCCCGGATGTGATTCCCGAGCCGGGAGAAACATTTGTACCTATGGTCTACATTTATTTCTCTCGTGAGTTTGGGTGTAAATTGTGGTTGTTTATTTGTGTGTCCATGGCAACCGCGATGCAGGGTTTCCCTTGTGCGGGGGTATGAGTGTGTGTTATTAATAATAATAATAACTTATTATTATATTTTGGATATCTATTTTAGATTCTCGCTTCTCCCAAGAATTAAAATATAATTTTGAATTTTTATATGGGGAGGCCGTATACCCCTGCAATGGCATAGTCGGGGTCAGAGACTCAGGTTCATGAACCTGTGAACAATACGTGCCGTATCGTGCAGGACAGGATGCAGAAGGCGGCATTTGTGATGGCCACAACCCACATGTCGGTGATCTAGTGCGCCAGGTCGAGATATTTCTGGCATTTCTCGGTTTCGGCTTATAGATTTTAGTTTCTAGTTTCTAATTTCTAGTTTCTAGTTTTAGTTCCGTTTTAGTCCACGAGTCCGTACTTCAGGGCAAGCTCTTGGTGTAGCATTTTGCCTGTCTGGTTGTGTCTTTATTATTATTATATTATAAAAATCTCTAGCTAGTGGTGAACCTGATTGTAGTCACCGGGCGTCATCTAGGAAGTAAATTGTGCGTGACAGTCCGACATGGTAACCGTTCGGCCACAGAGGCAGTTCGTATTTAGATTTTACAATTTAGAATTTAACGGTAAAAGCAATATCATTGACGAACACGTACGCGAAAAAGTAGTGATTCCGGATGAGCATCCTGAGCTACACCATAAGGCATCAATATCAATGATCAGACGTACAACCACAAATGACAACCCGTCGATATATATTGCGTAGGTGAGAACCGGCGCCCACAGACGAGATGGCTCGGCTGAAGATTTTTAAATGACGAAAGGTAATAAGTATACCTTAAAGTTATGGTTTTATTCTTGAAATTTCAACGATAATGCTAGTGTCGGCGGAGTAAAGCACATACCTGCTTACCTGACTAAGTCAAAAACCCACATCATTCATTGCATCTACCGAGTGTAATTTATTTGTTTCTTCATTAATTTGTAACTTAAATACTAGTGGAGTCCAACATTATAAATAACACAAAAAATTATATTAAAAAATGTAGCACTTTCTTTACGGGTGCCGTTCGTAATATATAACAATAAATGACGTATTTTTAACCGACTTCAAAAAGGAGGAGGTTCTCAATTCGACTATATGTTCTTTTTTTTTTTGTATGTATGTTACGCGATAACTCCGGTATTTGTGAACCGATTTTCATGATTCTTTTTTGTTGGAAAGGGGGTATTTCCATAGTGGTCCCATTTTATTTTGAAGAAAATCATCCACCTCAAAGGGTGGCTGTTCACGCATGAAGATTCATTTTTATAAATAGCGCCTAACTTTAATTTAGGAGCAATTACTTTTAGCAATTACTTAGTTGATTTTGCTATTTCTCCAATTCAAGGCATTTTTCTCTCGATATACTTTGAGTAGTTTCGTAGTGAGAACCTATTTTTATTATCTCCGGTATCAAGTCCTGTATAGTGGCGAACTACCCCTAGTAGAAACGCCATATTTCAATGAAACTTAGCAAATAGACGTGATTCCACGTACTTTTGAGGTCGGTTTTTTTAGTACTCTGTACTGAGATTATTAGTCGTTATAACGCTCAACAGATATAATTAATTTATGGTATACAGACATTTGACATATTCTTGCATGATATAAAGGTCACTGGGTATAATAGACGATTGATATAACAACTTTCAATCTAATATACCGATAGCATAATGTTTATTTTATATAAACGCTTCAGATGTAACATTCACTGAGTATAATGTATTATAAATATATATCAAATGTTGTTATACAAAGAGAAAAAGATTACCTATTTGTTGTTAATTATTATATTATCTTCTATTACACACCTTTTTTATTTATGTACTTTAGTTTGCCGACTCCAGTAGTCGTAGCTACAAAACCAAAGCTGCGGCATGCTTGATACCGAGAATCCTCTTGGGAATGCTTCGGCAATCTTCGGGATGTTTCTAGCTAGACTGATCTCTAAAGAGGCCAGACACGAGCACTATATCGGGACGGAATTCTTCAGCATCAGAAATAGGCACGGCCCCGGGTTCTAACCCAGGCGCTTTGTTAAAGCCGGGTTTAAATTGGATCAAAACCCATTAACACCAGAAATCGAGAGCAACAACTATTTACAACTGAATATTGGCTGTAAAGCGAGTTTTGTTCAAATGTAATGATATTATTACCAAATGTTTATAGCTTTCTGATATAGACTCGAGTCGATTGAAAAACGCATTGCAATAAATCAATAAAAAAAATCCTTAGATCTCTACGCACCTGAATCTTCATAAAAATCTAAACGTAACGTGCACCCTAATATTGAGAATTCACAGGATTGCAAGGTTGGTATTGTGTGGAGTTGCCTCTTCTTCGTCCAAAAAATATTTTTTACATCGAAATTTGTAATTAGTATGGAGTTACTTATACAAATTTAAAAATGGGTTAAAACCCGGTTTGGGTAAAAACTCGGTTAAAACCCGGTTTGGGTAAATACTCGATTAAAACCCGGTTTGGGTAAAAACTCGGTTAAAATCCGAGCAGGTGGATTGAGTTTTAATTCATCTCTGTTCAGCACGCTTATGGACGCCGCATCATATGTAGGGATACCGCGGGATTGCCATCAGTGTGCGCTTGCACATAGAGACGCCGAAGGATCCCCTGCCGAACCATCCTATTATTGGTTGCTAGGCCTAAGACCCAAACAACCTTGGCAGTATATATTCATGTATTGTTTGTGATACAATACAAAGCTCCGTATTTTGTATATTTTTCTACATTTTACTAAATTGCATATAATATGGGTAAATATATCAAGCAAGGGTTAATCAAATTTTCAAGAATGTATATTTATTACTGTCTTGATACAGAGTAGAGTACTGCCTTGACATTGTGACAGAAAGCGCTCGCGGGTGAATAAGCAAATTTGATGTCAATACCAGTTCATCGCATCGATATAAAAGCGACTGCTATTGCTCTTGTTATTATTCCGACACATACCGATCAACAAACAACATGTACGCGAAGGTATAAAATTGCAATCTTTTATTACCAAATGTATAGAAATGCTGCCATATGGTGGGCTTGTTATGTTGTTAAATTCTTCAAACAATCTATTTTGAGTGTTTTTATGTAAATGTTTTAATAGAACTTCTATTTTTTTCATTTACAGCTAGTAGTGGTCCTTTGTGCTGCGGGAATCGCCTCCGCCGGCAATCTCCTGCACGCTGCCGCTCCTGTGGCGTACAGTGCTCCAGTTTCTGCAGTTTCCTACTCAACCCAAACGGCACACGTGGCTCCCGCGGTCGCGACGTATGCGGCTGCCCCTGTTGTGGCTAAGACCTACGCCGCTCCTGCCGTGGCATCCTACGCTGCCCCTGCCGTGGCATCCTACGCTGCCCCTGCCGTGGCATCCTACGCTACTCCCGCCGTGGCTACTTATGCTGCCGCTCCTGCCGTACAAACATACGCTGCTCCTGCCGTACACACATACGCCGCTGCCCCAGTCGTCGCCAAGACTGTCGCTCCTGCGTACTCTTATCAGTCTGTTCAGCGCTCCACTCCAGTGGCTTACGCTGCTCCAGTAGTCGCTAAGACCTACGCTGCACCCGCCGTGGCCACCTACAGTGCTCCTGTCGTCGCTAAGACCCTTGCTCCTGCTGTGTCTTACTCATCGTACGCTCACGCCGCGCCTGTAGCTTACGCTGCGGCTCCTGCCGTGCAGACTTACGCCGCCGCCCCTATAGCCACATACTCTGCTGCCCCTGTTGCGGCTAAGACCTACGTCGCTCCTGTCGCGACTTACGCCGCCGCCCCTGTGGCCACTTACTCCGCTGCCCCTTCCTTGGTAAAATCGGCCGTCACATACTCCGCTCCCGCCGTCTCTCACGTCTCGTACTCCGGCCTGGGGGCTAGCTACGGCTGGTAAACCAAAGTTCCACAACCTTATTTATTGAATAATTGACATCGGTACAATGTAATGTAAATAATGAAACAAAGTCATCAACATATATTAATATAATGTATTTTCTGCATTTTATTTTCCCCTCAATTATTAAGATCGCTATAAATAAGTATAGTTTGATGCTGAAAAACAATAACTTGTCAACATGTGGTCTGTGTTGTCAACCAATATGATCATAGTTTCGCGAAAATGGCACCTAAATATTTTGTCGTTGTTTTTTATAGTTTGTTCTAAAATTTTCTACTTATTTAAAATGAAAACTTTTGTTTTTGTCGTCTCATTAATGATGAATTGTTGTAATTTATTACTATAATTTCCCAACAACAAAGCATTACACCAAAAGTTTTCGTTTTACAAGTATATCTTAGAGCAAACTATATTACTCATTTGTTTTTTTAAACACATTCCAATCAAATTACACCACAGTCACTATAAACATCGGATAGCCTTCCACCTGAAGAAACTAATTCTTAATAACATTTAGTTTACAAATAATGAACTAAAGAAAATATCTAACCCAAAGTTCCCAATCACACCCATACCTCACTTAAACTAAGATCCTTCCCGTTTTACTCGTAATAAATTATCACTGTATTGCACAAGGGCGCCTGGAGATACATTGCTTTTTGTCGCTGTAAGAATACCGTTTTCGTGTGTATCTCAACTAAGCAATGGGAGTAAGATGCTGAATAGACTGAAAAGACTACACTGGAGTGATGGCTTTATTGTAGACGTCGGATGCAGTAGAACGTCGGATACAGCGAATGTTTCTACAGCAAGTTTTCGAGCAGTTGCATAGGTAGCAGCGGCAGGAGTGCCGTAGATTTTAGACACAACAGAACCAGTGGCTTATGCAGCGATCTCAGGAACTAAGTGCGCTAGGAGTAGGAGACCGCAGGTACGATGTGTGTAAAGGAACGGCAGCTACTACCATCTGAATGTAACAGGAAAGGAAACTATGGAATCCTAGTAATTCATATCTTAGCAGAAACCGCAGAACCCGTGAATATATCGTAATCAAATCTGATTACATTGTAAGAAGAGTACATGCAGGACAGTGAACAATGATGACCGAGGTTACTTTTGCAAAGAGTCAATCCACACCTTGGTATACCTTCAGCACATCAGCGTAAGTTTGGAATTCGATATTTAATGAGGAAACAATATCTATCATTAACGAACGTGAGAAAATTAGTGGCCCTAGATGACGGTTCCGGACAAGACCATCAAGACCACCAATGAGAGTTCACACTTAAAGCCACTCATGGCAACCAATTATTTAGATCTATTGCGTAATGTCGCAAAACAATATATTGCCTGTGATTTTTCTACCCTATACTAAATATTGAAGTTTTTCTTAAAATTGTTCCTAAGTATTATTAGTAGACACACTGACCTACCAATGAGTAATATACTAAGTTAATTATAGATATAAAGAAGTTTCGCGCACGCCTTGTTATCGTCGACACAGATTACCTGACGTATGTACCAGGTATCCAGTGATAAGTTTTATTACGAGTTGGGCTAAAGGGAAATTGTATACTCAGAAATCACGTAAAACATTTGTAAGAAACTTTCTGAAATCAATCGCTTTGTGCGATATACTCGTATAGACAGTGTGAGTGATCATTTGTAAGGAAAATTCACTGCTCGTTTTGCAAATTACAAAAGTTAGTTACGTATATATTATATATTTATCTTTACGTCTCCGTGTTACCGTATTAACCGACTTCAAAAAAAGGAGGAGATTCTCAATTCGACTGTATGTTTTTGTATGTATGTTACGCGATTACTCCGGCATTTGTGAACCGATTTCGATGATTCTGTTTTGTTAGAAAGAGGGTTTCTCAGTATTGGTCCCATTTAAATTTGAAGAAAATATTTCATCTCTAAGGGTCGCAACTAGGGGTAGAATCCGATTTCGCGCACTTTCCGGTAACTAATTTCAATAAAACTTGACAAATACTTAGATATAGGAAATGAAACTATTTTTCCGGATTTAAATCGCGTATATTTGTTTTTCAAACAAACTGACGTCTCGGGCCCTTCACGTAGTTGACTCAGCTGGTACAGTCTTCAATCAGTTATGTCTAATATTGATGCAAACCACCCTATTTTTTCACTATAGTTACAATAGTTATTAATTAAATACCTTATTTTTAATTTTACAAAGAAAACATTCCAGTTTACGCTACATTACATTTTACAAATTATTTTATTGAATGAATTTTTATTAAGTTCAATTTATTATTATCATTCAATAAAAAAATATAATAAATATACGCGATTTAAATCCGGAAAAATAGTTTCATTTCCTATGTGTAACAATCGCGAAAACCTAAGAACTCGACAACCGGTTTTTTTTACAAAAAAGTTAAAATTATTATTAATATTAACACGTACCTAAATATTTAGGTAAACAAAAAAAACAATGTCTATATCTGAAGGAGTGATAATATATTATCATCAGGCGCACGACTTGTTCATCCCGTCGTCGCTTGATATTATAAAAAAATAAATTTTTATTTGATTAGACAACCAAAAACACAGAAATCAAAGAGGTATATCAGTGGCATAGGAGATGGAGGTCCATAGTCGCTGCCTACGCTAGCGTCACAATGGCGTGATATGGTGTATGTAGTCATTACAGTGTATTTTTTGTGCCTTAAGAAAAACAAACCATTACAAACAACGGAAGTTTTTCAGGACGTACATTGATAACAATAAAAACGTATATGTACATTTTAATTATTGTTTTAAAATGACACCGCAATTTCATATTAGAACGAATTTCACAATTTTTTCTAAAACGTTCTCTGTCCTATGTGTTATTTAAGCCGCCTGTGCTCAATTGATACAAAAAGTCGAAGAAGAAATTGATTTCATTAAATGGATCGATACTAGGTCATGCTATCGGATTCCTAATTAATAGTTGTAGTGAACTTGGCTTATTTATTTCTAACATTGTTTGTGTGTAGTTTTTAAATATTTACAATTGTATGTGTAGGGACCTACTCCAGTATGAATAAATCGAGCCATTACCGCCGATTTAGTGTAAGCGACAAAAAACAAATTTTACAGGAGAGTGTTTTTTTCAAATAGTTCTACATATAAGTGTAATATTTTGTCTAAATTAAATTTTAATATAATAATAATGAATTACACAACCGATTGTGTTACAGCTAAAATTTTTTTTAAGCATTGGATATTAAGCTTTTTTTGGCACTTACGTTATTTTTGCTATCTCTATCTAAAGAATTTTGAGGCTTTCGGGCATTTAAGATAACGCTTATGATTAAAAAATACGACAATTGTTCCAATTCCAGAATAAGTCTGCGCCATCCGCCCTCCTGCAGACATGCCCGGGCAACTACCGCTACGCCACATGTAGCTACCAATTGAGATCTATTGCGCGTGTAAGACTCACACCATCTTAGCAGTGATTCACAACATATTGCCTGTGATTTTTGAACAAAGATCCTTATTTTGGATATTTTTCTACACTATACTAAATTTATTTTAAAATTATTATCAAAAGTAATTATCAGAATACTAAATGAATTATCGACATACAAAAATTTCGGTCACGACTTGCTACCTACGATAGTGATTATATGTGCCTGCAGTGAGACAATTATAATATCATTGTGTGCCTGTGACAAATTTTATTACGAGTTGGGCTAAAGAGAAATCGTACGCAGAAAACATAATGTTTTGTAAGATTTAAAAAAATATACAAATTCAAATAGCAATATGAGGCCTATAATCAGGGTGAATGACTATTTATTTATAAGGAGAATTCATTGCTCTTTTATTACATAAATTATTTACTTAGATACATATCTTAAAATTATGTTATAATATGACATGACCATTGTTACGTTAGGCACGTATCTCTTCTGAGCAGAGACTTCACGTCCTTAGCTGTCCTCGTCATGTATCTTGGATTAATATAATCCGACCAGTACTAATTACATGTCTGCATTAATTTGTATAATTATATAAGGCTAGTTTTCTTCAAAGTTTTAAGAATGCATATTAGTTACTGTCTTCGTACTGAATAGAGCTTCGCCTTGACATTGTAACAGAAACCGCCTGTGGGTGAGTGAGCAAATTCGATGTCAATACCAGTTCGTCGCTTCGATATAAAAGCGACCGTGATTGTTCTTGTGATTATTCCAACATATACCAACTAACAAACAACATGTACGGAAAGGTATAGACCGCAATATTTTATTAGTAAATACAGAATGAAACTATTTATGGTGGGCCTATTTCTACCTATGAAGCTACAATTTTTCAGGTGGTCCATTGTGTGTGTTCCTACGTAAGTGCTTTAAATAGAACTTCCCTGTTTTTAATTTACAGCTAGTAGTTGTCCTGTGCGCCGTGGGAATCGCCTCCGCCGGCAACCTCCTGCACGCAGCCGCTCCAGTGGCATACAGTGCTCCAGTTTCTGCAGTTTCCTACTCAACCCAAACGGCACACGTGGCTCCCGCGGTCGCGACATACGCGGCTGCCCCAGTTGTGGCTAAAACCTACGCCGCTCCAGCCGTGGCATCCTACGCTGCTCCCGCCGTGGCTACTTATGCTGCCGCTCCTGCCGTACAAACATACGCTGCTCCTGCCGTACAAACATACGCTGCTCCTGCCGTACACACATACGCCGCTGCCCCAGTCGTTGCCAAGACTGTCGCTCCTGCGTACTCTTATCAGTCTGTTCAGCGCTCTACTCCAGTGGCTTACGCTGCTCCAGTAGTCGCTAAGACCTACGCTGCGCCTGCTGTTGCCACCTACAGTGCTCCTGTCGTCGCTAAGACCCTCGCACCTGCCGTGTCTTACTCGTCGTATGCTCACGCCGCGCCTGTAGCTTACGCTGCGGCACCTGCCGTGCCGACCTATGCCGCCTCCCCTGTGGCCACATACTCCGCTGCCCCTGTTTTGGCTAAAACCTACGCTGCTCCTGCCGTGGCGACCTATGCTGCCGCTCCTGCAGTACACACATACGCCGCACCCGCCGTCCAGGCCTATGCCGCTGCTCCCGTTGTGACTAAGACCTACGCCGCCCCTGTCGCCACATACGCCGCTCCTGCCGTCTCTCACGTCTCGTACTCCGGCCTAGGAGCTAGCTACGGCTGGTAAATCAACGTTCTACACCCTTATTTATTTAATAATAGATAACTGTACAATGAAATTGTAAATAATGAAACTAAGTCAACATAAATAAAAAAATATGTAATAAATTGTCTGCGTATTTTCACCCCATAAACATTTAAAATTCCAAAAAATTAGCACATTGTCAAGTTAAAACAGGATTTAGTATAGAAATAAAGCAATGAATTAAAACGTAAAAAAATACCATTTTCGGACTACACAGAATATAATTGTAAATAATCTTCAAGTAATAATTTGCATGTTTTCCTTCTTCAAAAATATACCAAGCAGTTTCAAAATTTCAAAGAACTTATTATTTAAAATAAATATATACGAAAAACGAAAGTAATTGAACATATGTTTGCAGCAGCTAGCAGTATAGCAGCATAGCAGCAAGATAATGTTTTCTTAGTCATATGAAAACTGTTATGACTTGACACTACATCGCATAATTATTGATTCAGTGTTGTTGCAGTTTTCCGTTTTCAGCCAGTAAAAAACAATTTGGTTGCTGTATCATCCCCGCGAGCAGCTTTCATGTTTTTTGTTAACTATTCACAAAAACCTATATACATCGATTCTGACACAAAGACAAAGAAAACAGACGCTTAGTTTTAAATCTTATAACTTTATATATGATCTGTACATTACTTGTAGAATACTTAAACAAGGTACTGGTCTATGATTTAATACTTAATTAATTAGGAAACAAATAAGTATTACGTTTATTTAGCGCCAAATTAATATTTCGTAAAATATTGGCATTATATTGTATCTGAATACTTTATAATGTATCTATAACATACACCGTAATACTTGCCATCGTGGTGAAAGGATTTACCATTCGGCGTAAGTAGTGTTGCGTCATCGAAAAATATCCATTATCAAAAAATCACATTTTTCAGAAAAAGGAATGTTTTTCCTGTATTTCTCTTAGAGGATGGAAAAAAAATAAAGGCAAGGAGCTGCCATATCTACGGAATAAATGTACCTAAACCAAAATTGTACCACACATATGGCGGATTTAGTGTTGTACCATAATCATACGTAAGTCAATATCGACATGCAAATGTATGGCATGAATGTTGAAACTGTTCTTTATGCTTGTAATTTGTATAGTTTACTGTAATCAAAGTATGATTAATAAAAGTTTAATTAAAGTATATCAATATTCCATTTGGGAATATCATAAATATGGGAATATCTGGAAATGTCATATGAGATTTTGAAGTTATTATTTTGCGTTTAAATGCTCACATTTTGCGATAAGTGAATTTGCACAGAAAAAAATTATTAGAGAGTAAATTAAAAAAAGAAAAAATTGTAATCTAAATCTGGAGATCCATACGCATTTCCAATCTCAAGATTGATATTAGAAAGAAATTTTTAAAAGGGTTTCCAAATAGTGTAAGCTGTTTTGTATTTATGCATTGGTATGGAATTAATATCAGTGATTTTGATTTAGGTGAATCTTTAACACTTCCTTTTAATTTTTGAAATAAATATAATTAGAAAATGAAACTATTTTTCCGGATTTAAATCGCGTATATTTGTTTTTTCAAACAAACCGACGTTTCGGGCCCTTTACAGGTCCCATGGTCACGGTTGACTGAGGTGGTACAGTCTTCACCAAGTTATGTCTAATATTAATGCAAACCACCCTATTTTTTCACTATAGTTACAATAGTTATTAATTAAATACCTTATTTTTAATTTTACAAAGAGAACATTCCAATTTACGCTACATTAAGTTTTACAAATTATTTTATTGAATGAATTTTTATTAAGTTTAAGTTATTATTAATTATTAATAGAAATTAGAAACATATTAATTAGTACTGCAGTCTTATGTCTGTTTGGGATTTTTCATTAGAGGAAATACTGGATCCCAAACTGGTGGTACGGAGAAACCATCTTCCCTGTTGAAATTAGGATGTTTTTTAAATTCAATGGCCTCTCGCAGCATCCTGAGCAGATAACGGACTTCTTTTGCAAGGACGTGGGGTTTGTCAAACTTCATTGAATGTGTAGGTTTATCCACGACATGCTCGCAGACTGCAGACTAGTTTACGCGACGGTGTTTGACATCAGTATCCATGACATGCTCGCAGACTGCAGACTTGTTTACGCGACGGTGTTTGACATCAGTTGATAACTTTGAAAAAACAAGTATACGCGATTTAAATCCGGAAAAATAGTTTCATTTCCTATGTGTAACAATCGCGAAAACCTAAGAACTCGATATAAATATAATTACTTATATAATAGTAGTAATTTTATCGATGAACATAAAAACACAAATAATATTAATAATACGTTTATTTGCTTAATTTGATATAACAGAAGATGTAACAAGAGCATTATTATTCGCATGTTAAACAACTATATATAAAACTACGACAACAATAAAAATGTCACAAGTTACAAATTAAATTTGCAAAGGATGATTAAAATCAAGATAAAATATTTCATCTTATTTCCTATCAAATAAAACATTTACGTCATAAAAAATATTTTCATTTAACCACTTATTTAACTTCGTTTTAAATAAACATGAGTCTAATATTTTAATCTCGAGCTGTCCACACGTTGGTCGCTGTCAGTTTTGTTCTAAGGAACTGAGAATGCCTAGTAATGAGCCATTTTAATCAAAATTAAATATAAAGTTATTTACCAATAAATGTAACGATGGAATTGCATTATTATGTAATCTAGTTATATTCAAAGTTCTATTAAAATTTGACTCCTCAAAGTGGAGCGAACAAACGTAGATGGTATTGTTTGATCTAATGTTTATGTTCGGCAGTCCTGTAATTTCCAAGCATTCTTTCTTTCTTTTTTCATTAGTAGGTAAACTTTAAAAATAAAAATAATCATAATGGAAAAATAAAAACCTCCTAGTGAATTATTTTAGTAACAGAATATCGATAATATGCCTGCTTACAAGAACAACACTATCTCAAAATAATCGTTATCAACAATCATCAAAATATACTAACAAACTGGCAATCTTAAGTAACTAAAGCAAAATTCGGCAAGACTTATGAATAAACTATTTAAATGAGTCTAATTACATGAGGTATTTGGGCTATTGTATGATTTATAGACAGAAAAATAACCAGTGTCATGTAACATTCGGTTGATTTCCGATTTTTCTAATGCCGCACCGCTTAATGCTGCAGCGACGCATTTTTATCAATACTTAATTGTTCTCACTGTCAATATTTTTGCACATTTCATTACAATTCATGCCAATAATTTACTAAAATTTTGGTTTTGACATTGGATGTACTTTTCTTTGACAACCGGATACGGATGTCAAAGGGTACTTCAAAAATGGCAAAATCAATACAGTCAAAAAATAAAATCAAAATCAATACAAATCAATGTAATGCTATCTCTTTTGGGTTACGACGGCACGCATTAGTTAAACAAAGACAATAAAATGTTTATGTTTTCAACGTCGAAATGCATCATATACATATAACGTCTGATTTACATATGTCAATATAACATGTCCTTTGGTTTCCATAGTCTAAGGCATTTCTCCATGTTTGACAGTTAACGTATGTCAAAAATTGAAGATACTGAACGAAAACGATGGAGCTTTTATATAGACTTTTTTCCTAGATTCTCTTTTTTGCAGTTGTCCATCTGTTGTTTAATCATTTTAAATATCGTTTTTCATTAATTTGCTTAATTTCACCAGCACCCTTATCCTTCAAAACCGAAACGCAGTAATGCTCACATTACTGTTTGGTGACAGAAATAAGTATGTTACGTCAGTTGACTACCGCAACAATAATATCACAAATTACAAATTAAATTTGTCAAGATGATAAAAAAAAAATTCTGAGTGTTCGATCTTTGTATTAATGATTACAACGGTGGAGTAATTTCACAAAAAATAATTGAATATCAATTCAATAAAAATTTAAAATACAGTGAATAGCGACATCTCTCGCCAGGACTAGTAGCTGTAAAGGTACTAACTGGGTGATAAATCTTTCATAGATTTCTCATAGATGGCGCGGATGAAAAGACGTTGAAAAACCAAATACAAAGACACGACGCAAGCACATAGAAAAATTCGTTGGGTCCGTTGGTTCGTTCCGTGGTTTAGTTGGTATAGCGTCTGGCACGGTATGCAAGAAGACGTCGGTTCGAATGCGACCGGATCGTAGGAATTCTTTCTGAGTGTTCGATCTTTGTATTAATGATTACAACAAACTAGTGGAGTAATTTAATATCAATTCAATAAAAATTTAAGATGATAAAAATCAAGATAAAATTTTACATCTTATTTCCTGTCAAAGTTACCGCCACTTGTATAATTTCGTTGTATATAAACATAAGTCTAATAACTTAATCTTGAGTGGAAGTGGTGGAGTTTTTTTATTTATGTAAACATATTTTTAAGCTATTTTTACTGTATTTAGCAGTCATAGGAATGTTGTCAAGTGCAACTCGAATAGATTTCATCGGACTTTAGTATTCACATCACATATTCATATTCATTTATAGCAATTCACATGAATATATAGTACATGTTAACAAGCTTAAGATTATAGTAGATACATACACGTGATGGGCGTAGCAACTTGAACTAACTATACCTATAAGAACATTTCAAACTTAAATAAATAATCAATTGACATAAATATTGCATCATTATTTCTATAATTTTTATCATATGTATATGTTTTAGTATTCTACACGTATGTCTTATTATAATTTTTATTAGACAGTAATTTGTAATTAGTATTAGACACAAATTAATTGTTAAATTAATTAAATTATCAAACACTTTTCATCTAAAAATTCAGACAAATTATAATATATTTTTTTAATGAGGAAATCTTTTAATTGTTTTTCGAAGATCATTTTTTTATTCAAATCTTTAATATAATTAGGGATATTACAACATATTTTTATTAACATGGAATGAGTGGCGCATGAAAATAGTTTTAAGCCAGAGTAAGGAAGTTTAAATTTATTACGATAACGGTTATTACGTCTTATTAATTTTACTGGAGAGTATTTAGAAGTCTGTATGTTTTTTGACGAACTTGCCGGCTTCAAAAATATATAAGTACGTTAGGGTGAGTATGTTAAGTTTTGCGAAATAGGGTTTACAGGAGTCTGTTCGGTCTATATTGGTTAATATTCTAATACATTTGTTTTAAAAGACAAAAATTTCTTGGCAGTAAGAGCTATCTGTGAGATACAGTATAATCCGTGTAATAACCTGAGAGGGCCGTTTTTATGTTACTAACACGTTTTAATTTTCTAAGAGCATATATGAATGAAGACTGACAGCTCGATATTTTTTGGATATACAGCTCGATATACTCTCCGGCTTTCTTAAACAAATATGTGTGTTTTCCAACAAAGATAGGAATTTCGTATATTTAAGGCTCTGTAACAAGGGTCTACGTATTTCACCCATAAAGGGTAAATTCCGAGTGATAATAACCGTATAGTTGTCATTCGAGTTTGTCCCTAAGATCTATATGCCTACCCGTACGAATGACACTGAACACTTACCAGAGTTTACCGCATGTATTGCAAAGTGACAGCTGTGACTCATGTGGCTGTGACGTTGAAAACGTGTGCGCATCCTTATGCGCGCTTCGGTCGTGTGTTCACGGTGCACTGCATCGAACAAAAGTTGCAATGTAAATTTAGGCGCACGGATTATCATATCGTTGGCAGGATCACTTCATAGCTACAGAAACTGCCACTAGTTTAGTTACATCTACGCATGTATTGTAATAACGTGTACTGGTCTTACCAATGTCCACTCGTAGTTGAATGTGTTATAACAAGATTGACTGAGGTTAGGATCGAATAGTACAATACATTAGAAACAAAAGGAATTTTTGTGCCGTAACAAAGAAACTATTTCAGGATGTTCATTGTTTACAAAAACTATACAGTAATTAATATGGACAACAAAACGAATATAGTAAATGATTTTCGTAGTACATGTCATCTGCGCCATGTGTTATTTTTCAGCCACCCAGTTATTAAACTCAAAATAAGCTGGCCTTCGTCACTTGACATACAAGGTCGAGGGAGGATTAATTTCATAAAATTGGTTCGTTGCTCTGTTATACCATGATGTTGGGAATGAATAAACAGTTTTAATAAAACTTGCTTTTTTATTTCTCTCATTGGTTTTTTGCAGTTTACATATTTACAATCATATACTTAGTTATCTACTCCAGTTTAAATAAATAAGATTTATTTACAAGAGCTTGGGTTTACCAGCCATAGCTAGCACCCAGGCCGGAGTAGGAGACGTGGGAGACAGCGGGAGCTGCAGAATATGCCACGGGGGCGGCGGCGTAAGTCGCGACAGGGGCGGCGTAGGTCTTAGCCACAACGGGAGCAGCGGCATAGGTTTGGACGGCGGGAGCCGCAGCGTAAGCTACAGGCGCGGCGTGAGCATACGACGAGTAGGACACGGCAGGAGCGGCGTAGGTCTTAGCCACAACGGGAGCAGCGGCATAGGTTTGGACGGCGGGAGCCGCAGCGTAAGCTACAGGCGCGGCGTGAGCATACGACGAGTAGGACACGGCAGGAGCGAGCGTCTTAGCGATGACGGGAGCACTGTAAGTCGCAACGGCAGGCGCTGCATAGGTCTTCGCGTATACAGGAGCAGCAGCAGCATAAGCCACTGGAGTGGAATGACGCTGAACGGACTGGTAAGAGTAGGCTGGAGCGACAGCCTTAGCGACAACAGGGGCGGCATAGGCCTGGACAGCGGGTGCGGCGTATGTGTGTACTGCAGGAGCGGCAGCGTAGGTCGCCACAGCAGGAGCGGCGTATGTCTTAGCCACAACAGGGGCAGCGGCGTATGCTGCAACCGCTGGACCTACATGTGCGGTTTGGGTTGAATAGGAGACTGGAGCACTGTAGGCCACAGGAGCTGCGGCGTGCAGTAGGTTGCCGGCGGAGGCGATGCCCGCAGCGCAGAGGACGACTACCAGCTGTAGATAGAAAAAAAATTGTTAATAGGATGTTATGATTTCTTTGATTACATTTGTCAATCCATTATATCTCACTGCTGAATACGGATGTTCTGTAAGGGAAGGATGTAAGCTATTTTGGACCAATGCAGCTTAGGGACTTTCACACACGCTTTCCAAGACGTTTTTCTTCACCGTTATATTCATAAATTTACGTAACTTAGAAATTAAAGCCTATGTGCAGGTATGTGCAGTCACAGGTATTTGAACAAGTAACCTCTCAAGTAAGCGAACAACTGTCCACTCGGTATTACTACTTTTACTAGTTATAGAAAATATTTCGTTTATTTTACTAAGTTATGTATCGTACCTTAGCGTACATGTTTGTTTGTTGGATGCTGAGAGTTGGAATAATTACGAGAGCCATTGCGGTTGCTTTTATATCAAAGCTCAGGAACTGGTACTGAGACCGAATCTGCTCGTTTGCCCGCAGGCGCTTTCGTTTTCAATGTCAAGGCGACGCTCTACCCAAATAAAAATACTTGTGTAATAACTTGTGTAACTTGTACATCGATATATTTGAGGAAATCGTCCTCGGAAGTCGAAAACAAAGTTTTGTTTCCTTATTATACGATGGTAAATCAGTGTACATAATATTTCTGGATCACGTAAATTGGAAATGCAAAAATGTAGTTTTAGTGTTACTGATGATTAAGTTGCGTTGAAATTGCATCATTGCTTTCGAGTTCATTCTTTTAAAGTGAAGGTGACCTAGTATACTACTTTGCAATCACCATTTAGTCTAATGTCAGCAGGGGTATTTGAATTGAAAACTAAATAATTGTTCTTTACATAGAGAGAGATTTATTTTCCAAAAGATGTAAGTATAAAAATAGGAACATAATTTAGAGTCAGCCACATGTGAAAATGGTTTGATTGTTGTTATCACAAAGAAGGTGTTTCCTACCATATGTTTCCGTGCCCACCGTAGCCATATCCGCCATATCCACCGTATCCGATGTTGCTAGCATAGCCACCGTGACCACCATAGCCATGACCGTAACTGCTATATCCTAGACCAGATCCGAGGCCGGAATAACCAGCGCTGTAGCCGTAGGAGGGACCAACTTCTTTCACAATGGACACATGGGATACTGCAGATCCAGAGCCACCATAGCCGCCATATCCGCTGCCGTATCCGCCGTAGCCCCCGTATTTTCCATATCCACCATATCCACCATATCCACCGTATCCTCCATATCCTCCATATCCGCCATGCCCTCCATATCCGCTATATCCACCGTATCCGCCATATACAGAAGTAAGACCGGAGCCGTAAAGGCCACCAGCGCAGGTCATACCGAGAATGCATGCGAGGACGGTCAACTGGAATTGCAGAAGATACTTGTTAATCAATTTTAATTAGTAAAATTTATCGCATCATATTTCATGGCGAGAAGGAATGGAAGTAGGTAATTTGTGAATTAATTTAACATAGCGAAAGTTCAAGTCAACAGATCTGTGAGGTCAATTATTTCAAATTTATAAAATAAAAACAGGGAATTAAAATTTTTCAACATTACTAATTAAAAAATACATTTCATTATTATTGTCGTCATTAGTAAAGTCTAAATTATGAGAAAATAAAATTGAATACAAGTTTTACCTTAGCGAACATTTTGGATAGTTCTATTTGTTGTTACTACTCCAAAAGAGGACGGTGTATTTGTGTGTTTTTAAATCAATTGTTGCATGCTTTTATACTATAATTGAAGGAAATAAATGGTCTTTGCCAAGGTTCATCGTATTATTCGTTAATCAGACCGAGACGAAATATAATTTTGGTTAAATAGTTAATTAGCCAACATACTGTATCACTATAACAGATCTAAGAAAAAAGAATACAATCTGTGCTAATTATGGAATATTAGCGTAAATAAGTCCACAAATGTTTTAATTGACTTCATGTTTGGTGATTAAAAGAATTTAAATGAAGTATTTTTTACCTTTACGTCCTTCTAGTTAATATAGAGCTGATCAGATAACTGACCTGTTTTAATTTTCTTTCAACTATATATGTAGTAATAATCTAAGTATCTAAGCACCTATTGACTATAAAGCTCAATTTTTTGTTATATAATCAATTAATTGCCTCTGATTTACTAAATAAATCTTAGAGAGTATGCGACGATAATTTTTATCCTACTCTGTATTATTAATTAGGACTATTAGGTCAGAAAAATAGACAGGTGTCAGTATTTTTTTCATTTCAATAATTGTCTAACAAAGCAAATGTCATACACAAAATATATTAGGAAAATAATTGATATGGTATCAGTAAATGCTTTGCGTCTGCAACCTTCTTTTTAACTGACTTCAAAAAAAGGAGGAGGTTCTCAATTTTGACTGTATGTTTATTTGTATGTATGTTACGCAATAACTCCGGTATTTGTGAACCGAATTCGATGATTTTTTTCCCGCAGTCCCGCAATGATTTTTTTTGTTGGAAAGAGGGTACCTACATAGTGGTCCCATTTAATTTTGAAGGAAATCATCCATCTCTAAGGGTGGCTGTTCACGCATGAAGATTCATTTTTATAAATAGCGCCTATATTTTATTATAAGTAGCAATTATTTTAATGGTTGATTTTGCTATTCTCCAATTCAAGGCGTTTTTCTCTTTCAATATACTTTAAGTAGTGAGAACCGATTTTTATTATCTCCTGTCAAGTCCCGTAAAGT